CTCAGTTTCTGCTTCTTTCCGGGACCCCAGGACTTTCCTTCCAGACTTCTTCAGGCTATAAAATATATTAAAATGATGCAGTTTTCTCTTATTCTCACTTGCAGATTCCTTGTGTAAGAAACAGGAAAAAATAAGGTAGCCTTTACATGGCTCATGTGCAGAAGATGGGAAAAATATGGGCTGCAGCATTATAAAACAAATGGAGGCAACCCAAAGCAGCTAAAGGCGGTGGCTGCCTCCTTTGTGCCAGGTCACCTGCAGAAGATAAAACTGTTGCAAAGAGGAATCTATCTGTTATGGATCTATTATTCATCATGTGTTATGAAGGGAGAACTCATATTTGGAGACTGTATGTGATCATTAACCAATGCCAAAGTTTAACATAAATGTCAAGCAGTATCAACACAAGAGTAGTGGTAGGGATTTTTTCAATTCAGCTCTGGATTTTGATTGTAGTTTTAGGAAGCCCTCCCTTTGGCCTTCTCTTTGCTTTTCCCTTTCCTTTAATCTGTACTTAAAACTAAAAGTCACTGTGTTATACATGAAGAAAAACAGTGCGATGTAGGCACTACAGCAAATAGGAAGTATGAAATAGCTCTTCACTTCTTAATACTGAAAATAGAGAAAGGTACATGGAAAATTCTATAGTCTTTGAAGCATAGGAAATATACGTGCCTTTTCTTCTTGCACTTTTGAAGACATTGCTTCTTCAACCACAGGCAGACGTTACAATGGATAACAGATAATAAACAGGATTCGCATTCTTGGCACTCAGTCAATTAAAAGAAATACCAATTGCATTCTGTGAATATTCCCATGGTGCCAAACCATCAGAGGAGTTGGTGAGTAGGAGGAGTGAAGGTGTGATAATTGAAAGAATTGCTACTTGATAAGTCACAGAAGCTAATGTGTTAGCTCAGCATGTGGGGAAGCTAGGACGTTCCCAGCTGCTGCAAAAATTGGGTGTATGAGATCCCTGGCACCACTCGTTGGGACAAGATGAATCACAGGCGCTTCAGTAGCGAGCTACCATGTCACAGTGAGCCAGATGGAGGTGGTTACGTCCCTGATTGATTGCCACTTGGGCTACCAAGGGCTTTTCCAGCAGGCTAATGCCTTTCTGTTGGCATTGGAGCGCCCGGGAACGGTGTGTCCGCTTGGGTCAGCCCCGTGCAGGAATTCCTGCCTTACAGGTGCATGGCCGCCCCGCAGAGGAGGGGGAAGTAAATAAGGAGCAAGGGCGAGCAGGTGAACTACAGTGCGCACCGAAATAACACCGGCTTCCGACACCTCCCTAATAGACCTTGCTGCTAATGAATTTTCAGGCACGTGCTGAGTTAACGGGGGTGAGCAACACTGAAACATCCTTTAGTTAAACCCAGTGCTTTACAAAGGCTAATTGAAAAAGGAAGGAGCAGCAGGGGTGGGGGTGGGGGAGAACAAGGGGGAAAAGGGGGTAGGGGGGGAGAACAGCTCTATTTTTCAAGTGCTGAATATGAAATCCCTGCAACAGATGAGTTTACATGCAAGCCTGCACCTCATCAGGGCAAAGATACAGTGAGTGGAGTCAAGTAATTTTCCTCTGCACACAGCATCCCCAGCCCCTTACCCTGCCCAGCCAGCTTTCTCAACTGTGAGCTTTAGAATATAAACAGCCAATAAGTAAGGACAATAACTGTAGTTCCTGCTGAGAGCTAACTCTGCCTGTCATGCATTTGCTGGGTCCTAATACAGGACAGTGAATAAAGCTTCATTACAGAACAATGGAGTTAGCTGCCAGAGCCTACAGATTTGAATAAACAACAAATAAGCAACATCTGCTCCAGCATATGTGTATGGTAAAAAAAAAAGTCACAAAATAAAAGAATTTGTAAATGCCAAAAGCAACACTAAACTGCCAGTGCTACTGTAGAGTGAATTTTTAATTGCACATGCATACAGGCAGGCTGTGGGTATTAGTCTCACATATGTCTGGTTGCTGCCAACCTGGGAGTATAGATGAATTTAATTAAATAAGGATTATCCCTTCTCCCCAGTACAATTACTTATTTATAACAATGATAAAATTGCCTAATAAAAAAGATTGTAATATTTTTTAAAACAGAGCTAGAAAACACTCTGCTTTTCCTGTAAGTCATTCAGGGATGTTTGGGGGGTTTGAGCGTCTTTTAAAATTAAGTCTCAGCATTCTGCCAAGAGAGAGGGAAAAAAAGCCTTATCATAAAGCCTACTGCAGTTAAACAGCCAGAATCTACATTATGGAGAAATATAAAGAAGACACACAGCAGCCAGGGAATTGGCTTTCATGGGGAGTGTAGAAAATTAAGCAATTGGACTAAAATTGAGGCCAGGCTACAGAGCCAAGGGACAATACCACTGGGACAAGCACTTCCATAAGTCACCCGTCTCTAATATGCTCCATCCAGGCAAAGCAGTCTGTTCCTATCTATCTCTATTTCTTCTCATAGTGGGCACCATGCACTTTCCCACTCAGGTGAGCTCCCATTTCAGCAGGGTCATGTCAGGCTCTCACATCTTCACCATCACTCACACCCTTTCCAACAGAGCTTGCAACCAGATGAGAGTAGGCCCTTACAGTATCAGGCACCACATGAACCTTGAAAAATAGGCAGCCTGTGCCCCAGGGAACTTGGAGGCCAAGTTTAAATTCAGGCATGTTCTCCTGGGAGCTGAGGTTTTCCTTGTGTAGGCTCCTGATGGACTCTATTTCCCACTCATTCCATTTTGCTTATGGGTCTGAGCCACATTCTGCTGGATTTGGTAGGAACCTTCTCAAAAGCTAGGTATTATTCACTACTAACAATATTATATTCACAACCAGCAATTTTTAGACTGTTTCCATGATGCACAAAAAGTTGAAGTTACAATAAAACTCCCATGGCTATGGGGGTTATGCCATTTAAGAGCAGTGGGAAAAAGAGAAAGAATATGAAAAAGTCTGTAAAAAAAGCTTTAACTTTAGGCCAGATGTCAATGACACTAAAACAACAGAGAGAGAGATATTCCAGTGTTTAAACAAAACTCTAAAATAGTATTATGGTTCTGAAAAATCATAACTCTTATATAAGCTCAGTTTACTTGTATGATTTTGATTGATCACACTGGATAACAGTCTTACCAAAATTAAAAACAAGTTATTACTTTCTGTGTTTTCCATCATGAAATTACTACTAAATACATGCTTATTCCTATGTCTTAAAAGAGTGTTCAGGACATACAGTTATTTTTTTCCCCTTACTTTTTGATTGATATACCTATGTAATCTGCTAAATCCTTTAACTAATGCCCATCATCATTAAATAGCACAGTCATTTTTTAGAGATGGACAAAGAAATTAAAAAAAAATCTATGGGTATGTTGTTATGTTTTGAATTTTTTCCCCACTGGGCTATGTCCACATTATCTTTTTTTTTTAATTTCTCACTGAATGTTTGTCCAAATGGTGTTTTTCACTGCACCAGTCCTGGGGAATTGCTATTCTTTGTATAGATACTGCTACGAGCAAGACTACTGGTATGGGGGCTCGTCTTTGTTCATGAAGATCAAGACATCTGTGAGAAAACAAAATCAAACTAACCTAATTCAGGTGACAAATCATACAGTCTGAATAGCAACAAGGACCTGACATTAAGTCCCAAAATTCACTGGAGCCACACATTGACAGACTGGACACATACAACCCTGCCAGAAGATGAGGCAACAGCAGCTGAATGCCGCAGGTATTCAATTTATTACACAGTTAAAAAAATACCTAGCAAAACAACAAAGGTATGTTTACAGGTCGTTTGAAAACAAAAATAAACCTGCCAAAATGGAGGAATTAATGCTATACTCCATTGACTTTACTCAGCTCCAGCGTTTACCAAGAAAACCTCACACACTTTGATGAAAACACTAGCCTCACTGAAGTCAGTGGTACTTCTGTCACTACTTTCAATAGGTTCATGATTTCACTTCTGCAAATCCAGCTGTCACTCCAGCCAATGGCATCTGTGAATCATCTGCACCAGTGCATATCTGGATTTTTTTTTTAGATACATGTGTATGAACTTGGATTGCTTAATTATTTATGCTGTCTCCCTGAAAGTGATATAATGTAGTCCTCAAAAGATGAGGCCCCACCAAACTTTCACCTTTGTCCCTTGCTATCTGCTTCTTGCTACTTATTGGTTCTTTCACGTTAAATTTCTGTCCCATTTAAACCAAACCCAACTGCCAGTCCTGCTTGAAGCATTGGTTAGCAAGGATCCCTAGAGAGCAAGGCCAAGCATGCCCTGCTCTGGAGGCTGAACAGCCATTTCACCAATACCACCCCTCCTGACAGCAACCGCTTCTCAGGATCCAAACTCAGATTTCCCCACATGACAGCATAACATCTGGTTTAACATCTTTGCTTTTAATCCTTTCATAGACTCCTCAAATAACTTTTCTAACACACAATTCAATGCTATGTCAGTTCATGTGGTGATGATAAGGAGACTCAGACGATGGGGTAGAGGCCGTGTTGCCACCAGAACATCCTGGTTGCATGAGTTGGGAACAGAGTGGCTGCAGGACCACTATCTCCTGTCTCCTGGTTGACTTATCTCCTAGGGATCTGAGACTTGGTGGATAAGGGGTCATCTGAGTCTGTCAAATAATTCACTGAGCAGGAGAAAAGCTTTGGTGTCACTCAGAATTGTAGAGAGGTCTTCTTAAAGCATGAGATGGGGACCCCACACGCTCAGAGCTGTGCATGTGAGGTACACTTTTCACATGCACTCATTGCATCTTCTTGACAAGCTGAGTATATTTTACAGCCCTATGATTTATCAGGTCATATCACCTAGACTGCCATGTCCAGAATAATGCATCGAAATGTCAGAGGTGACGGAATCAGAGAGAGAAAACATATCGTTAGGATAAGATTTAGAAACAACTGCATGAGAATAGTGTTCTAAAAACAAAACTGGCCAAATTGTCTGTTTTTTAACACTCACCTGAAGTGGTGTCAGGAGCATTTCCACATAGAGTTTCATCCTCAAAACTCTGAATCTGAAAAAAAAAGAAGAGAGGAGAAGAAGTTCTTACTGATGGCTGTGATTATGGGGGGGGGGGGGTCAGGAGTGAAAACAAACCAAAAATTCTGGACATTTCAAAGCAAAACCATAAAATCTTTTAGATGGTTTATTTTTGGTTGTGTCCTCTTTAAAATACTCTTGTTATAAACCAGGTTCTATCCTTGATCAAAGTAATGAATGTATAAAGGTTCCCAACATGTAAATACACTAACAATCTTGTTTGAACAGCCTTAGAGAAATGTCCCTAGGAAAAAAAAAAAAATTACTTAGTAGAAGAAACCCAAGGAAATGTAACCATATGGAGGAAAATTCTTGCCAAACAGTGTATGTAAGGTCAGATTTTTTTTTTCCTCTAGGAATGAAGACCCATTTGACTTTTTCATAGTATCAAGGGGAACATCATGTCATGGTGCTGCATAAACTCCCTCAAAAAAAACTTAAAAGAAAAGGGGATCTATTAGATACAAGTAACACATGAACATGCATGTTGGCTGTGTCCTCCATGCAGCCTGTAGCTCAAGGGATATCTAAGTCCCACATTGTCAAAGGCTAGAAGAACATGAGAGAAAGATCACTCTATATGTGCCTGTTACTCTGTTCCCCATATAACTGCTACTGGCCATTGCCAGACTAACAGTTTAGGCAGCCTGATGGTTTCAGCCAGTACACAGTTCTTACAGCCTTAATTTAATGATGTGGTAGAGAATACTCAGAAGTTAAACAATATATCCCCTGTCTAATTTGAGCATACAGTATTTACCAAATTGTCTTAGGCATCAAACTGGGGAGTTTACGATCATCTGCATTTACTGCTCTGTCGATGCCTTCACTTTTGTGTGAACCTCAGAGCTGCAAGTCCAGCATGCTAAGTAATTTACAAAGATGTATGGGCTGCTTTGGGACTATAAATTTCCTGCGCTGGAGATCTCCAAAAGACACCCTCTTCCCCACTGAGGCTGATAATCAGGCCCATGCTCTGATTCTTGAGTCAGCTCTGCTGACATGAAGGCTGAGCCAAACCTTTCACAGAAAAATACACCTCTGGAAGGACTTGCAAAGATAAATATCCTTTCCTCGAGAAGAATGCCGCCACCTTAACCTGACCTTTTCCAGTGCTTTAGAAAATAGAAAGCTTTTTTAAGCCTTCCACCATTTCCAGCCACTCACTACTCCCTCCCCTTTTTCCCTTCCTTCCTCCCCTCCCTCCTTCCCTTCCTCCCATGCTCCATATGTTTTCAGGGGGCTGCCAACCATCCCATTTCTCCTCCTTTCTTTGATTCTTGCAGAGGCTAATTTCTGGACTCCTTTCTTTTCCTCATTCTTGAAGGATGTCTCAAAAGGGAAGAGTATTCCTGTCGATATCCCAGTGGAATCTGTATGGTTGGAGAATATCCTACCATAGCCATTTTTCTGCAGTAGTATAGTCAGAAAAACTGCTGCTTACAAAACAACTCTAGATGTAAGAAAGGGACTGGCAAGTATCCTGGTCTCTGCTACTTCATATTGAACCCCCACTGACAACCCACTGTTTCTAAAACATACAGAGAACTGAGTATCATGGACTTCACAGACTGGATAAGAGAACAAGCTGCTGTTCTGAGTTATTCTGGTTTTAGGATGCTCAGCTTAGAGAGCGATAAAATATTTCAAACTGCTATAAAACCAAGGCTAATTTTGTGATGCAACTTTCTGAAAGAGCACACCATTAAATGAGCTTAGGGGGAAAAAAAAAAAGATAGGAAAAAAATCCCCAACCCTGGTTAATGACTGGATCTGTAAAAATATCCTTTACCATATGTATTAGTGTTCCTGCAACTTCCTTCTATAAAAAAAAAAAACTAGCGCTGCAAAAAATACGTTGGCATCTTACACTATCATACCAGTTGAGTGAATCCTACCTCAATAACTTCAGTGCCAACTTCTTTGACAGTATCCTAACACAAAGACAATTTAAATTAATCAAAACCCCAATGAATAGTGTAAATCCAACTGTTTCTCCCCATAATGCTGCTGCATGGTGTTTGTTGAAATAATTTACTCTAGCTTCCATCCTGAAACAAAGATTCCAAACTTATACCATAAATATGTGTGGAGATACACTGCTAGCACAATACATGAAAATCCACCTCACCTCTTCCAGTTCAAATGAGTCCGGCAGCCTGCAGTTTAGGTCAGCCACATTTTTGACTGTGTGGTCCATCAGGAAAAGTGACTCCTTACGTGGCCTGTCTTTGGCAGGCACCTCACATGCAGGAGGAAGATGGGGCTGTTTTGCAACTAGGTGCAGTGAAGCCCAGGCTTTCCCCGATGGAGTTGGTGGGCACTGGGATGTGGGATATGCGGAGGAACCTTTGTCTCTGGGGGTTTGCTCTTGTGTCAGACCACCCAGCGTGACATGCAAAGAAAAGCCCGCCTGGACTGTTCTCCTCTCGTCCATATCTGCACAAGTACAGGGTTGCTCTTTCCTGCCGGGCAAGTCGGCTTCCCCAGGTGCCAGTGAGCTCTGGGTCAGCAGCATTGTCCGCCGAGAAGCCCTTTTCAGGAGCTGACCTATTCTTCTCTGCTTTGCTCGTGTGGCTGCAGGTTGGCTCTTCACAGCATCCAGGAGACTGGTCTCATCCCTGGCGGTGTCCTGTGCTTTGGTCTGTTGGGTGTTGATGTCGGTCAGCAAAGACGAGAGGGCGCTAGTTACGTGGTCAAGTACTTCCAGCTGTTGAAAACGTTCTTAAGTTTGGCAGAATGGAAGGCAATGTGGTTATTAAAAAACAGAATTTGAAATAATCAGATACAACGATTATTCAAACTTGTCATTGACAAGAAACATACGAAGTACATCATTCAAAAGTGGCTAAATTTTTCCATTTGCTTCCAGAAGATCCATTCAGGCTACATACAGACATCATTACATAGTTCTTTATATTAGACAAACACGCAACATTGAATTAGTTGGGTCAAGTGCAGCTGAATACTGCTTTGTATGAATAAAGGTTACAGAATCCAGCCTGAAATTCTCCAGTTGGCTGGGACAGACTTGGATGCCATTTTTGAGGACTTATTAAAATTCATGTGAATAAAGTTATTAAAATCTGATCTCAAATGTTTACAACTGGCAGCTGTCCAGGATAACTGCAAAATGCATATAGCCATTAACTGATAAAAATTGACCACACAAGCTATGTTCTCGTTTTCATAGCAGCACAAAGCAAACACTTATCCCCCAGAAACTCATAGCTGATGTCATATAAAGGCTCCCCAATTTTTTCATTGTACTAACCTCCTGTAATTTCTGGGTCATTTTTTCAATGGCATAACATCTAAAGAGAAGCAAATAATGTTTTCTCTAAGGGATTCTAGAGATTTCCATCACTACAACACTATGAAGTTATTTATACAAAGAAACATGACACATTTACTTGCACACTGTGTCTGTACCTATCCTGAGGCAATGAATATGTCACCAGGACTCCTCCTTCCTTGAGAGATTCATTGAGGACAGTAGATGTCAAAATGTTAACTTTCTTGGCTGCCATTTCTCTTAGAGAGCAGCCAAATTTACTGCATGCAGTCTGCATGCAGGCTGTTGGTAATGCTGCTTCACTGACAATTAGACAACAAGGGGATATTTAACATGGATCTGAGTTGGTCCTTTGCATTGGGGACCAATACCGTAACATTTAATTCCTGACAGTTACTATATCTCAAGAATACACCTTTTTTTTCTTTGCCTCAGACGTTGCCTGATTTTTAATATTGGAGGAAAACACTGGCATTGCTACCACTTTTAAAGACATGGTCAAAGGTTTTACCTGGTGCTGTTTAAAGGAGTTATCTGATCTATCAGCACACACAGTGTTGTATAGTTTCCATTTGCGTAAGTTCGGGGTGTCAGCATAAATAATTTTTAGTTTTGTACATCCATTGTGCTTCCACATGCTTTCCATGTAAAGCACTTTTTATCCTCAGTATTTCATCTGGCTCCCACTACATCAGGCCATAAAAATGCCAAATGCTAATCTCTTTTGACTGACAGTGGCACAGCAGTCCAGTCCTCCTTTTGATTTGAACCAGAATCAAGCTTGCTGCAATTTAAAACAGTTTTTACACACTGCTTAGCTTTTGTAAATTATTTCAAAGAGCTTGGGACATCTAAAGGACAAATCAAACAACTAGAGAAATTATAAATGAATAACATAAAAAATCCCCTCACTCATGTGCAATGTAATAAACACACAGGTCATGAAGAAATTGTGTCAGGGACAGTCTTGCTTCATGGACTATTTCCCTCCAGGCAAGCAGTCCCTTCAGTTTCTAAGCATGCTCCCCAAGGATTGTGCCTCAAATAGGCAAGAGGCTTTATAAGATCTCTTTAGTCCCTGCAGCCTGATGCAAAATAGTCTAAAACTGTAGCACAGATGAGAAATTAAAGGACATAAACTCAGATTCATTTTCACTAGAAACTTTAGCCGAAACAGCAAATGGCTGTGCTGTAAACAAGATCAATGTATTTTCAATAGAATCTGTATCTTTTATAGGGCTTCTAATGACTTTATGATCAACCATTTTATAATTTAGGAGGGGAACCTCACAGTTTTGTTCCTACTTCGCTAAATCTGGTATTACATAAACTGACATAGTCATCTACATGAAAGATTTAGAAAGTCTTCAGTAGGCCCACAGTGGAATGAAGAAACACCGAATATTTCCAGAGCCAGCAAGAAATTTTCAATCAACACCTTTTTTTTACAGCAAACAGCAGAATTTGGAAAAAAAAAAAAAAAAATTTCAGTGGGAGAATCAAGACATCTGAAATTGCTCAGTTTTCCTCAGGAAAAGTAAAAATGAAATTTCAGCATTGTCTACTTTGTTGCATATTAAAATATTTTCCCTTTTATAGACTGTCTCAACTTGAATCTTGGCAATACTGCCTTTGCTTGAATCAAAGCTGTACTTCAGAGAATGCATTTAGCAATTTACCTTTAATTTATCTTCTAGGGGTGGATTTACTGGCTGACATATATCTCCTCTCTCCTAACTGACCTGTGGTGGTCACACGACAACCATGTATCATGGGAAATGGTGTCTACCTAACACATTCATCTCACAGGGGAAAGTGAGACTTGAACTACAGCTCCAGTGAGGGCCTTGCAGCAGCTGAGACAAACAGAAATGAGTGTGAAAAATCCACAGAAACAAGACACCAAAATCCAAGTACATTTGCATATGGCAGTAGGGAAAGGTGGTTCTGAAATGTGGTGGTTTTGTTTTTATTATTAAGCGTCAGATTGAAACATTTCAACATTTCTGAACTGTGTTCAGAAACTTGAAGTTTTCAAAGAATTCAGGGATCAACGTATTCAGAAATATGATTTCTTTTCACTTAAACCTCATGGAGTTCAGCAAGGCCAAGGGCAAGGTCCTGTCCGTGGGTCGGGGCAATCCCCAGCACAAACCCCGGCTGGGCGAGGGGTGGCTGGAGAGCAGCCCCGAGGAGAGGGACTGGGGGTGCTGGTGGGGGGAAAACTGCCCGTGAGGCAGCACCGTGTGCTCACAGCCCAGAACCCACCCGTGCCCTGGGCTGCAGCCAGAGCAGGGGGGGCAGCAGGGCCAGGGAGGGGATTCTCCCCCTCTGCTCCGCTCTGGGGAGACCCCCCTGCAGTGCTGGGGCCAGCTCGGGGGCCCCCAACAGCAGAAGGACACGGAGCTGCTCGAGCGGGGCCAGAGGAGGCCACGGAGATGCTGGGGGGGCTGGAGCAGCTCCCCTGGGGGGCCAGGCTGAGAGAGTTGGGGGGGTTCAGCCTGGAGAAGAGAAGGCTCCGGGGAGCCCTTCGAGCGGCCTCCCAGGGCTTAAAGGGGGGACAGGGAAGAGGGGGGGGGACTCTGGGTCAGGGGGTGTGGGGATAGGACGAGGGGTAACAGGTTTAAATTGACAGAGGGCAGATTTAGATGAGATGTATGGCAGAAATTGTTCCCTGTGCGGGGGGTGAGGTGCTGGCCCAGGGTGCCCAGAGCAGCTGTGGCTGCCCCCTCCCTGGAAGGGTTCAAGGCCAGGTTGGACGGGGCTGGGAGCCCCCTGGGCTGGGGGAAGGGGGCCCTGCCCAGGGCAGAGGGGGTGGGATTAGATGATCTTTAAGGTCCCTTCCAACCCAAACCATTCTATGATTAAGATAACATCTGATTGTCAAGTGACTTTATCTCTTCAGTTAGGAAGTCAAGTAACTCTTCTAATGAGGTCAGTAAAATTTGCACCACTGGAAAATGATGGGGATAAGCTTTTATTTTGGATCTGGCTCAGAAACTGTAAGTGTTACCAACATTTTTGAAAAAAGCATCTTATTCTTGTGAACTGAACCTTTTGAAAACTCTCTGACAATGCTGAGGAAACAACATCAAGGGACTGGTTAATTAATAAATAACTATATAACAATCCACACATATTTTAAATGGACTAATCAGCAGTGAGGGAGACCTAGAAAACTATGTTCATGACAAGCAGGGAAGAACCAGACAGAAACAGAGAATGACTGCACTAGGAAATGAATGAAATATGAAAATGAAGAGGGATCAATCTGCTATGGAAGTCCTTGGTCTCTCTCACCTCCCTCTCCTTTTTCCTCCAGGTTTATTTTCTTCCATATTGTACCTATAATCTTTCTCCTTATCTCTCACTTTCTCAGAGTAACAAGTTGTACTAAATCAATTAACTTTCTCTGCCAATTCAGACAACAGGTGAAAGTAAATTGATAACGAGATAACTTCTCAGACATTCAATAACCCAATTTAAAAGATTCCTTCCTTTTCCATGGCTAGAGACAAATGAGAGGGATTCAGACTGCATTTGCATTGAAATGGCTCAGTGATAATAAGCCAAACGGGGTGACAATAATTGAATTAATCCAGCACTTCTCTGGGAACTGTGGTTCAATATAGTCTTGAAATCTCCAGAGGTGGCACATGGTCTGCCTCATTTTGGCACTTGCATTTCAATGCCCTGGTGAAGCAGACCTCTGACAGTAAGGAGTCTGGAGTTCCTGAAACTGTTAATGGAGAGGTAAATGCCATGGAAAACCTCTAGATCCAAACCTTCTACTAAATCTACAGAGAAGGGTCTTTTTCTGAGTCTTCTTCTAGAGGCCTTCAAAAGCACCTATTCTTCTCATTGCCATTACAGGGGATGTAGACTTCTGCTTTAGAAGAGCTGGCTCACTAGATACCTGAAAATTTAAGTGCAGTATTAGTACTGAAGGCAGATAGATTAGGTCCCATGCTAGAGATGCAACCCATTTTGAAATCTAATAAACGTGAGTTTGCCACTCCTCCTTCTTGCTATACCTCACTGCAAAAATCCTTAGACAACCTAAGGCTGGCAAGATTGGAAAAAAAAAAAAAAAGAGTTTGCAAACAAATGTCATTAGAGGATATTCCTCAGGCTAAATATGGTACATCCCTTTGTAGATGCAAGTCCTCTTCTGGAATACCAGCTGTAGGAAGGTACTTGTGCAAGATTACCTACATGGTCACTGAAACAGTCTGGCTTCTTCTGAGAGGTGTTTTAAGTGGTGGTTGGATGATCACCCACAGGAGTTGACTGACTCTCTCCACTGGCTATGGAGATAGAAAGACTCTACAGTGACTAAGCTTCTTGAGATGGTGCTTCAGCTGAATGCCTGTAATTTGGTGCAGTGAACCAGGCTGAGGTTAATCACTGCATGGCTAGAAACATGTAGTCAGTGAAAGAGGTAAGTATCTCTGAAGGATGAATCCCACCTCTCTTGATTAAATGTTCCCAGCCCATACTTAGGAGGCCTATAAGCAGATGGTGTGAAAACCCCCTCCCAAACTGTCAAAAGCAAGATAATATGTTTTGATGGACATCACACCCACCAAAACAGAAATTCAAATCTTATCTTACTTCACAGCAACTCCCCCATACAGATAAGCCATTAACATGTACTAAGAGTGCTCCCATTGAGGACAGCTACAGGACCAGTCATTAAATTCACACCTTGGCTTTGCACTACCTGCCTTCACTTGTGCAAACTCCTTCCCTCAGAGGCTCTTTCTCTCATTCCCTTCTAGTTCTCTACCTTCTTCCCTGAGGTCTTCATCCACCATCTACTCATACTGATTATCTCTGATCCCTCTCTCCCTCTCTCTCAGAGGAGTTAGAGAGAGAGAAGGAAAGTGAGAACTGAGAAACCTGTTTGATGTGTCAGTTTGCTGTAAATATTGAAGTGTGTGCACGGGGCTTGCTATAAAAAAAAAAAAAAAAAAAAAAAAAAAGAGAGAGAGAGAGAGAGAGAAACACATTTTCCACAATGCTCTGACATTTCTGTTTCAATTCTCATTCCATCCATACTGCTTTCTTGGTGTAATTCTAAATGGGAATGCACGGGCTATGTGAGAGATCCTGCTTCGCTGAGCATCTTAAGTAAACAGAAGATTTCAAGAGCCATCTGGCTATCCTGTGCAGCAAACATGAGGGGAAATGATGTAAAAATTGGACTTTTCAGATGGGTGATATACCAGCAAATTTAAAATGTTATTTTAATGCAGATATATCTCTAGGGTGAGGACCTTGTATTCATTTCCAAACTTCAAAATACACAAAACAAGAACAAAAACCATAAATGAATAAAAATCAAGACTGTGCGCTTTAAATGGTGCAGTATTATTGTACTTAAAATATAATGCTTGTCTACATCTTAGGGCATATTTGAACCACGAAACTGTTAGGTCCTAATTAAGGATTTGTGGGTCTGTCACACAAGCTCTGGCAGCTCTAGTCACAGGAAGTTAAGATCTCATCATTTGCTCTGCACATTTCCCCGAGAGAGGAGTCCTATGCCCACCAAGGGGAAAAAGGAATGTGAACCCATGTCTGGCCTGGCTGAATTAAAAATCCTCTATATTGGTTTAAGACACCGGTGATGGTGGGTACATGTTAATGTGCTGCCAGTGAAGTGGCTGAGGCAATGAACCCATGGTCAGTTCTGCAGCCTCTGCCACACCAATGGCAATCTCTGGTGGTGGGGTAGGTCTTACAGGGGATGGGCAGTTATGTTTTAAAATGCCACAAGTTGGTAACATCAGCACGTAAATCAGAGTCCACAGCTGAGGAGAGCTATAAAATATTTCAGTCACATTAGGAAGTATCATTGCCACAAAGGGGGATGTGAGGATCCTTGATGCCTCCTGAATACATGCTCTTTTTTCACAAATTTTCTTTCATAAGCTGCTTCTTCCCTACCCTCTCAGTTCCCATGCTATTTATGGCTAAAACTTCTCCTTTTGCCAAAATATCTCTCCTTACCATATAGGTTTGGCCTCTCAATGTCCATCCGCTGCTTCTGAGCTTCCAAAAAGACTTGGATGTTGATCCCTTTTGCTACAGAAGCACCACTGAGGAACCGAGGAGGGATTTTAGTGCAAACATCAGGTTCTTCTGTACCAAACCCCAAATCAAGCAGAATCTCCACCGGATCCTTTTCCCAGAGCATCAGCCATTCAGTGATGCTGTGGTGAAAACATGACAATTATTTGCACCACTGCCTTGGTACCACTTTTCTCTTGCAATATCTATCGCATGGTCTTGGTTTTATTAAATAATTCTCTTTTCTTCTTCTCCTCTCTTGTGGAGACTACTGCTTAAGTGAAAGTAGTAATTTTTAGTCACATTGCTCAGAGATTAATAAACATTCCTCCCCCCAGAGGAATTTGGTGGCATTGGATCTAAACAGCTTAGCAAGAACAACATTAATAAAAGGTGTAGGATCACAGCTCTGCAGGCTTGCTTCTCTCTAGGCAAAATACAGATGAAGCATGCTGCAGCTGCCATAAGACCTTGCAGCCTTTTACCTTCCCATGGATTCAAAGCCCACCACAGTTTCAGGCAGGTTTTGGTTTTTTACTGCTACAAATGCATTTGAGATCAGACACCTGTTAGTAAGAAGGTTGTTTTGCTCTTGTTAAAATAAACGAGGACATGCCTTTTACAAACAAAGCTCTTGACTGCATATTCAAAATTGTACTCACATTTGTTCATCCCTAGGTGGGCTAATATCTTGTATTCCTAGGTGGAAATGCATGGAAATAACTAACCTCTGGGGTGCACCAGTGAGTGAGTGGGAAGAGCTGAGACACTTGCTTCCTGACATAACCGGACTTTCCGAAAACTCTTGCAGGGACCTGGTTGGAAAAAAGCAACAATGAAATGTGTTTACTCATGTGCTCCTCTGGGATGTCATTATGATTTTTTCCTAGAGTAAACATTTGGATTTTTTCTTGGTTTATAACGATACGTAATAGCAATGCTTTAGAAGAAGAGTCGACATGAGAGTGTGGCAATACGCTTATTCTCGAGAACAGTATGTTACAGTAGGTGTGAGAACGTAGGTGTGAGGTACCAGTAAATGCTAATTATAAAGGTGGCAGAATGGCTCACTTTTGACAGATGGTGAATCTTTGGGGAACCTTTAGGGAGCACGGTTTCTCTAGCCACCTACTTCAAAAGATGTAATTGCTCTTAACAAAGTTTTAGAGAGACAAGGCACAATGAGTTGCAGCAGCAGGAGTGGCACCTGAGAGCAATTCTGTGCTTCCCTTCTCATTGTGTTTGTATTGGCTAATCTGCAGAGAAATAGCTGCTTTTCAGAGCCCACTCACTTGCTGAAGGAATAACCTGCATCATGGTAGTCATTCTCAATCGGTGAGACATGTTGTGTCCAAGCTTAACCTTACCTATAAATACCTATGAAGGTCAGTGGAAGCACTGCACTGATCATTTGTTTTATCATTGCAGGTTATCCACCAGCTCACATCTTAAACAGGCCCAGCGGGATATGTAGATTTTTGAATTTACACTGTTGCTATCAGTTTGAGAAGGAAAAAAACAAATAAACAACAACAAACAAAAAAAAAACAAAGCTAAAATTTCTCCTTTTATCAAAAGAAAAGGAAGCAAAAATAATTTATAACAGATCAGATCTCTATGATGTCTAACACCTACCTCCTGCAGCTTTGTACAATCATTTGTACCATTTCTGGTACTGACAAGGAAACTGCAAACAAGAAGAAATAAAAATAATTTATTTTCTTACCTTTTGTTTTTTTTCCCCTCAAACCAGAAATGCGTCAAACTAGAGAAAAGACCAGAGGACTGATTGCATTATATAAGGAAATATTTTAGCCCAAGCGGCAAAGTTGCAAAGCAATACCATTGTGGGAATCTCAACTCACAGTGCATGTTAGGCATAGGTAAATGCAGCACATGTCAATAAGAAAGGGAAAATATGTGCTCTTACATTTCAGAAACCAGTACCAGTACACTCTAAGCCCCTGCTATTTAAAAGTAAGCGTTATGAACTGGATCCTACCATCTGCTGTAGAGCCATTGAGGATATATATAGAGTAAATATGATAAAATAACTTAATTCCTCCTTTTTTAGGCAAAAAAGTACAATTAAAATATATTATTTTAAATTCTTGTTCCAGCCTATGCTGGTACAACTTTCTTGTGTATAATAGTTTTTCAAGCGTATTTCACTGAAATTTTAGGAATATTTGTGAGTACGGATTTCTTTGGGCTTTGCATCATGCTCTAAATGTGTTTGGGATGAGCAAGACAGTTGCAGGACACTTACAAGAGTTTCTGGAGGAGGAAATATTTGTCCAAGAACTGATAATATTGTTTACCGGACTCCAACTGTGCTATACCTATGAGCTGTAAGGTGTGTATTTCTTCATTTCATGATGATGAAATGGGAATAAATTGGATGCAAATATTCAGTGCCTGTAGTTATTACTTCCCCTCCCAACACTGACTTAACACACTTGTTGATCCTCTGAAAGCTGGCGCAACATTTTCCTAGGAACAGCAGTAGATATCCTTCTGCATTCTACAAGATGAATATTTTTTGTCTAGCTTTTAAAGTTTTCTTTTCTATTTAACAAAATTGTGTCAATAAAGAAGGAGAAAACATCCTTTCACACTCTCTACTGGATTATTCTTCCGCTCATAAATTCTAACATAAGTTCCTTCTGGCTTACTCAGTGCAAGGATATCCATCCAAATTGAGAACATAAAGGTTACTGACATCCTGTAATTTGCTGCGGTAACATAAACCAGACTTTCTAGCAGCAAACTGAGCATAATTTGAATAAGAATCAGCTGCTTGCTGTATACCATTTCTTACTCACGTGCCAACAGAAGCTATAGATTCACTATAAAAATGCTTGAGAATGTAAAAAATAAGATCTGAAAGTTATAGTTAATTCAATTTTTCCCTAGCAGCACGTAGGCACTTCTCTCTGTAACAGAGCATTATACCACAAACTGGCTGCTGCTGTGATTTCCTCAATATCTCATATTGTCAGGACTGAATGAACACAAGTGCTGCCAAATTAAAAACCTATCACTGTGAAACGCTGGCCAGGGTGTTAAGTAAATAATTTAATGATGAGAAACCTGGTAGTTGTAGGAGGTATAGGAAGTAGTAAGTCACCAAAAAAAATCAAATGGGCAGAACTTGATAAGTTACTGTAAGTTGGGTAAGAAGCAACAGCTGTACTGATGTGGTTGTACTCTCAAACCAGGCAAACAAACATAGAGTGTGACACCTTAACTATTGTTGTAGGCCAAAGTAAGTTGAATTGTCCTGTATTGCTGTGGGTCAAGAACATGCCAATGTACTGCTACCAAGGCTGAGCCACCCAACCTGCTAAGTGGTAGTAAACCGTTCAGGAGCCTGTGTCCACCTCGTGACTTGGACAAACTTTGCACCTCCAGGTAGTGCAACACAGGCCATTTCACTCACGGTTAGTGTCTGCTTCTTTCCTTAATGAGAAGACCCTCATGAAAAGTTCCTCATTAGAGAGCTTGACATTTTGAGATATTAGAGTTTGTTTTCTCTACATTTAAGAGGTCACGGAAATAGTAATGGGGAGGGTACGGTATTTACATTTCCTGATTTGTATAAGTATTTTGTTCCTGACACAAGAAACACTGAATCTCATTACCAAACTGGAAGATACTTTGGGGGAAATAATGCCCTTTAGAAATCTGTCAGAAAACCTTATGAAAACAAACAAACAAAAAAAAATACTTTGTAAACCAACTGTGGTGCTAATTGGTGCTCTGTTTACTGCACATCTAAGTATATCTTTGCTTATGAATAATATATTTTGCTAAGCAAAATGTGGCCTCTAATACTTGAGGGAAGATAAGGCATTTTAGCCTCAGTAATCTCTGATTAACAGGAGACAAGATTAAATCACATGTTGTTGAACTGCATCTTCTTCTTGTAAGCCCAATAAACAAAATGTGTAAATATGGAAACACCGATAAATAATACTTTGGGCTTCCAAAAGCACTAAAAATGTGGACATTTTCAGAAATATGTGAGGAGTTGTAAGGTGATTTGGACTTCTAGTTCCTTTCTTAAAAAAAATAGTCTCTGAATTCACTACATTCAACATATCAGGAAAGTAGGTGATAACAAGTGAGAAGTTCTGCATTCAGGTCAGGCAGAGTTTCAGTCACCTGAAACTCTTGTAACATAACTTCCAGACCATTTTGTGCAAACCCATCCTAGAAACCTCCACTCCTTCAGTAGAAGAAAATCAAATCATGCCAGTGGAGAAGGTGAGCCTAAGACTTTTCTGTTGAAGTCCTCATAAGATAATCTTTTCATTATGACTCCAAACAGAGGAAAAAACCTACAGTTTATCCATGAACAACACATTTTCCCAATAACCTCCCCATCCCGAGGTCTGTGGTGCTTGGTATTTTATAGTTAAGCACTCCTTATTAGAAATTATGAATGATGTTTTGTCTCACCTGTCTCCTCTTGGCCTTGCAGCTTATTCCCACTTGTAGATAGACTGTAAGATAAAAAAGATTTTAAAAGACAAATAAATTGAATCCCCCCAGAAGAATGGCTGCTTTTTCCTGAGAAGAGATGAGGTCAGGGAGGCAGTCCAATGGGCAGGCACAGGACAGGGCACAGACGAGCTGAGTGGCCATGGCTGGTAGAAAAACAGCCATAGGCTCATCTTTTCTGCCTGTGAACATCACCTACTTTCTCCTCAACATACATCAGCCTCCGTTAAGTGTTGAGATTCAAATCATCAGTTTATGCTTAAGGCAAAAACCATGAAATTTTAGCATTCTGCATGAGTAAAGGTCTGTCAGTTCTGAACTTAAATTTTACTAAGATTCTAGTTAAATCAGTTAATCTGGGGCAGGAGTGAGAAGAGTGGAAGCAAAAGCCTTTCCAGTTCATCACATAAGAGGCAGCTGTATGATAGCTCTCAGCTGATCCACGTCTGCATGGTGACTTGGTAAATATTAATGACACCAGTAATAATAGCCAGCCTCGCCATGCATGAATTTGGCTAACTTGGCTTTACCCTGCTACTGGAAAACGCTTCTATGGCTGTCACATAGATTACTGCTGTATTTTTGCTCTTTACCATACTTCTGAACATCATTTATAAGGCTGTCTCTTTTTTTTTTTTTTTTCCCCTTCTATGGCACCTAATACACTTCAGTTACATTTGCTTAAGCAGTGAATGCATGAAGTCATAGTGAAAAGTTCATGGCAAATACCAGTCTTTCAGACTTAATTTTTATCCTGAAGAAGGACAAAAAGTTAAAAAACTCAGAATTTTGGTGAAAAAAATACATTAAAATTTAAGTAAGTTAAAGGTTAAACTATATTTCCCTATAGCAGCACATTGCCTCACAGAGTTGTAAACATGTGTAACCACAGTTTGCACTACAAATCATGCTTGTGCAGCATGTCCCTTGGGGCACAAAGCATTGTGAAATTCCCATGATGTAGCAGATAGCTCGATCATCAGAAAGCTATCCAGATACATGATGGAGAATAATACCCTTCAAAGAATACCCTGGAAAAGAACAGAGCACTGAGATACATTTCTCATGAGGCACTGGGTCATAAGCAAGACATGTCATTTCAGACTGAATAGTTGTGAAAGAGTATTTTGATGTAGTTTAATGAAATTAAAATCCTATTCTTTGGTTGAAATCAGCCAACTCAGAATATTTTGTTCTGAGTTTTCAGGGGTCACAATTTTCCTACTGGAAACTTCAATACTGCAGACATAACATTTCCTGTTGAAGAAATCAAGCAACGAGTAATTAAGCAATAACGTAACCCAAACTTTAAGAACACAAGAATTCAACCAGTGATAAATATTTTTTTTATACGGAGTCTTCTAAAAATAAAAGTAGAGCTCTTAGGTAAAAAATTGCCAGGTCAATTTATAACAATTAACCACCCCACTGTATGCCTTCATTTCTGGTGAATCCTGGAATGCATGAGAAATATTGGGAGAAGGATCTAGTAATTTCCTTCAGTAATCTGAGGGCTTTTAAAAGCAAATTTGGAAAGAAAAATAAAACCCTGAAATATTAATTTGCCTCTACTATCTGCCAGTTGTCCCTATTCTGGAAGTATCTAGTAGTCCAAATGAAAATGGAAAACTAGCTTTTCTGATTCTGCATGAATGCAACCCAATGCACAGTTTCTGCATAGCTTGAAATGGGGGGGAGAGCCCACTCTTGCATGGAGGGAGGATTATCTCCTCCTTTTTTACCAAGCACGCATGAACCCTCCAGCAGAGCCAGGAACAGATCCCAAGTCTCTTTTTGTCTGATATATGTCTCTTTTCCGTTCACTTTTTCAAGCTAAAGGTAAACCAAGATGGTGCAGAAGTATTTAACTCACTGCTGAAAAATGCTATGGGCAGGCTTCTTTCCCTGCAGGTTCATCTGAAGCCACTGGGACCATCAGTTTAAGGAGCTGCTTTGCTCTCCGTGACAAAGGAGGGAGGGAAGTGCTGATTCGCAACACGGCTCAGTCAGAGGTAAGATAAAACAGGAGGTGGTCTGCCTCCTGGATTCATTAGTGTAACTCTCATTAACACAGTGAAAAGGCATGGAAAGACAGCAGCAATCAAAAGTCTTTACACTTAAGTCTTTAGAGATCCAATTTTGAGGTGTAGAATACAGTATATATGGATTTTCAAGGTTACTGTGGTTTTTTTGTTAAACTACAGAACAGATTTGTGTTCAGGCTCAATCTCTGCCTGGCTGTAACCCTGAAAGCTCGTTACTGGTGCACTGAAGATTAAGATCTCCCAGTAAACCACCATGTTTTCTCCAAACCAGTCTTTTAGGTTCTCTTTACGGTCACCACAAAGAGTAAGGCACCTCCATGGCAGTTCACCCACGTTAGGAGGAAGAGACAAGGAGCTATTTGGAGGTCCTTTTCTCCACTGACAGAAGCAGCAGCCTAGCCTTGGACTAAACACAGAGTTCTGAGATGGCTAGTGAGATCATCCTAGGAGTTAGGTGACGTACCCTCACAAGTGGCACGTTCACCCAGGCAGAAGGGAGAACAGTAGAACAAAGGTAAAGTTTTGATGAAAACAAGATCAGATTTTGCAGCACATGGTGATTTTTCTGCATCCAGCGAAGAGCAAGGAGGCAAACCACAACCACGGGAGTTAGACTACTAATTTAAGTATCTGGTACTTACACACTGGCTTCAGGGAAAATATATATCTGTACATATTTAACATTTCAATAAGAAATACAAACAGGTGCACAGATTCCACCAGAACCTCTGTGGGCAAGAACAAAAAATTAAGATTAAAAATGAAGATGGAGTTAGTGATGAAGAGCAAAGCACGAATGCTTGTCACAAGCTCACTAGTACAGAAAAAACCCCTGATGTTGTCCTCAGTCACCATGGAATGCTGAGAATCTGCAGAATCCTTTTTTCCAGTCTTACCAAGAGGTGTCATAGGAAAAGGGTGGTCTACCACTTTCAACAGTGGAGACTTTTGATGTAGGGAAATCCATGATGCTCCGCTGCACAACAGACTCCCTCCCTTGTCCATCTCAAAGGTGTGGCCAGTCAAGCTCTATTGTTGATCATGTGGTGGGATGTTATTTTTTGAGGCTGAATCCCTGGGCTGGTACTCTGGAAACATGGGTTCCTTCTTGAATGGGCAAGTTTCTTCTTTCTTTTGCACCTCAGCTTCCTGTGTGCAATGCAGATATAATAATACTGCCTCTTTCCAATGGTATCCATTTGAAGTGTAAAATTTTTTGTCAGCAGGACCTTGTACCCTGATCAGTGTAATAACGTGCTCTTTTTCTTCTTTTCAGTACCACTGTAACAGAAATTTTAAAGTCCTCTGCAATGACTAGTAGTGGGGCATCTTCTTATCTATCGATCCTCATATCTTTCAGAAATGAACCTCTTTCCACAGGTTTAGATGTGTTTGCAACCAAAAGTGAGTTTGGTATGATGTCACTGACCTAGCTGTCCAGCTGCTACCCCTCAGACAATTAAAACTGCTCCAGCAAACCAGTAAGGTAATGTTCTCACAGCCATCAATGTAATTATTAATCACGGCAATGTGGGGCTGTTTTTGAGATGGTGAGAAGGGTTGAGGAGATGGGGATGCATGTGATGAGAGATAGAAACCAGGCTGTGTCAAAGACATTCAGAGAGAAAAATGGATTAAGCCCCACAAGACCAGCTTTTAAGAGGTTCGGTATCAGTAGACATGGGGTTGAAAAGGAACACCTATTAAATGCTAGTTGATTTAGTGAATTTGGGAGGCTTTTTGTCTGACCCTGAGAACACTGGTTCAAGGAAGGCATAGCCACTGAAGAGACATCTCCACTTAGCTTTGATGAGACACTTGGTCTGCATCCCCTGGGACACTGACACCACTTCCTGAGCAAAAAGCATGTCCACCAAGGTGAACTGCAGCTAAGTGAAGTGGTTTTATGACTCTTCTGGCTTGAAAACCTGAAGGAACAATGTCTAGTTCTGCTCTAGTCACATACAACAGCCCAGATGTGACACCAGAGACAAAATATTTTGCAAAGCCAACTACCAATTAATGTCAGGGGGTGGGGGTGGAGATGAGGAGTGGAAAGTGCTTTCCTGTCCCTTTTGTGAATGTTCTTGGGACAAATAAACCAGGATACTCAACATTCTTTGAAATCACTTAGATTTTCAGTTGTAATTTGTCATTTGTAATTGGGTTGGTACATCTACAGATTTCTATTATTACCTTTTAGGAGACCTTGAGACTAATAAAAAGCCGTGAGAAGAAGAGTGAAACAACAGGTTAGAAATCTCCTTTGTGCAGAGAATGAGCTATACAGCATTAACGGTGTTTCTGAGTCCTTTGGCAGAGGGAATCCAGAGTCTCACCTACTTGCTGTGGCCTCTCAAAGTCCTCTCAGTCGGAGCACTGCAGTTACACAAGCACGGTGAGAAAATATCTGTCGCTGCATTTGGTTAAAGAAAAAAACTGCAAGGAAATACATAGTCCCATCTGTCAGAGAAGTTGCCAGGAGAAATGCCTGTGCAGCAGGAGGTCAAAGAAAGGACAGTAGTATTTTGGGGAGTAAAGGGGGAGAGGTAGGCAGAAGGACCATTTTTTTGTTAAGATGACTCACAGTGGAGGAGACACAGTGACACACCTTCTCAGGGTTAGAAGTCAAAGTTTAGCACTAGTTTAATTGAAATTAGCTCATTCCTCGGCTGAGTAATCCACCAGCCTGATTCTCCATTGCCAGATGACTTGCACAGCCATTTACAGCAGGGCACAATGAGGGTAAGATGCTACAATGGGACTGAACTGTAAATGACACAACATGAAGGGCAATAAAGAGTTTGGCCCCAGATGTGGGAAGTACAGAGGTAACTTCCATTACATCTAATTAGTGCTATCACCATTAATTTCCTGTGCATAGACAGCAGAAGACATCCTTTTGATTTCAAATTAATTAACACATAATGATTAATCTGATAGGGTACATCTTTTCAGACAAGAGTGTCCTCTTGATCACAGTTTGGGTGCCAGCACCACTCATCATCTGTGTGTTTTAATTTCTAACTGCTCTCCAGAAGCAAATTTAGCTCTGCAAATCTGTCGATGGAATGAATGACTGGCTGGTTTCCATGTTCTGTGTGTTTTGTTCATTTGATAACACACTGAGAACATCTTGGAAATATATTTTTTTTGTTGTTGTTCCTCTCCCCCTCCCCTCCAAGGAGGTTTCAAGGTAGAAATTGAGGACTCTGCATCAGTGAGAAATTTATACCAGCTCTTCACTACAGAATGCAAGAAATGAAAAGTTTCTAAAAATTGAAAACCACATAAACAGTTTATGGCAGGTTCCCAGACAGATTTGTCTCACTTCAGTTGCCAGCATTTAACAGAACCATTCTCCTTGCCATCAACTACAGTAAAGTGTGTTTGTTTCACCGAAACAGGATCTTGAACTTCATCAGCTTCACACCATATTCCTCACACTGTATGATACCTACTGAATAGCACAGTTAATATTACTCTTCCCTTTCCATTTGTCAAGTGATTACTCAATCACACTTGGTTAATATTTATCCACTTCCTTTAGATGTTTATGAATGCAAACATCTCCATATCCAGGTGCACCAATACTCAAGTAGACAGCCCACAGTTAACTTTGATATTGAGAAATATGCAACTAAACTTGCAGTTATGCAGACATTAATTAAGAGGTAGCAGCAAATCTCACATGCTTTGAGTTAGGAAGGTCTTTAAATTCCAAGACATTCCATATCCATATAGAAAAGTATTTGAGCATATTTATGGTGACTGAGCTGTTTCAGCATGGCAGCGGAATGCTAAATATGCTTTTGCAACATGAAATGTATGGGAAAAAAAAAAATGCTTTTTTTTCAGATCCCGTAGCTAGGATGGGACGTTCTTCTATTACCAGCTCTATGAACTCACGTATATAGTTTCCAAATCAATTGCTGCATTTAGGTAAGCATTAAAAAAATAAAAGAATGGGAGGAAATCAACAAAGAAGATCCTTCATACTATTACTGTGAAGTGATTTATGTGATACAGTTGTGTTCTGCATTCTGGCTCAGCCACAATTTTTATGGCAGCTCCATCAGGGAGAAAGCTCATGGTACCTATCTGACCATCTCTGCTCCAGTAAACAAGAAGAAAGATATAGCTAGCATGGTGCCCTCAGGCAGGAACAATCATAATTTCTGGTCTGTGCTATTCACTCTTTTCAGTTGCCATTTATTTGGACAAACCACTGATTGAAGATTGAAGACTTGTTTTCTTTCTGTCTTACTCAGAAGCAAAAGGAGATGACAAAAGCCTTTTCAGTCTTTAACTTTAGGACCTGACTTTGGGCAGCAAAATGAAGTCGAGATCCCCATTCCCTGCCCATCAACGTTCAAATTGTTAAGCACACTGAAATTGTAGTTGCTGTAGGAAGGTACTAATTTATTTTGTCTCTTCAGCATGCCTGCCATTTGCATTGAAAAAAATTAAGGACACTTGGTTTGCTATTCAAAGCACCCCTGGAATATCCATGTGAAAACTCACAAGTGAAGTGACTCCAGAGAATAAAGATTTTCTGGAACTTTTCCAGGTAGTGAAAACTGTAATAACACTTCAAGCCTTCTCATATGTTGGTAAATATAAATTCGGGTAGGGTTCTGTCTTTGTGAAGCCTTCGGTAAAATTTCTGTTCAGAGGCCGCAGTGTCAACCTGATCTGCTCTTTTCAAAGCACAAGTCCTAGGGCTGATGGAGACAATCGTGTTGCTCACTGTGAATAACCATATTGGAAGCCGATGGTATCATCGTGCTGCATTTTAATCACAATGTGAGCTCACTCTTAATTGAGAAGCAACGTTACAGATAACGATAAATAACAGTAGCTAAAGCTGTTTACTTTTGAAACTGTATAAGGCTGTGCTGAAGAGGGAGAGAAAGAGTTGTATTTTAAGCCTTCCAGATACATAAGGGGAAGTGCATAAATTCAATGAACGGGTCACAGGCAAAGAAACAAAACAACAGTGAAAGCAGTAACAACAACAATAATTTTGCAGTACACTCAGTTTGAGTCTGGTCCCTTTGCTAAAAAATGTACCCTGGCTGGTCGAAAGAGAGAGCCTATGAAGCTATGAAAAAAATCAAAGCTCTTTAAATCTAGACTGGAGCTCTTTTAGCTGGAATTAAAACCAGAAAAAAAAAAAAAAAAAAAAAAAGTAAAAAAGTATTTCCCACATCATATCTTACAGATCAGAAGAGGAAAAAAAAAATAGGCTTTCTAAAATTTTTAACCACTACAATGAAAAAAATGATAAAAAAATTATAAGCTCCAACCTGTATGGCTTGATCCAGCTGTTAATATAATGGAATAGTTGCAGCCTGGTGCATCTGTGCCTCTGCTCTGCCACAGACCCAAAGTCTGAAAAACTGGAGGGCAAGAACTGCTATTCTTGGCTTGGCTTTCCACCCCCATTTTTTTTTTTTTTTTTTTCTTAAAGATACCGGGAAGGGCAAGAAAAGGCTATTTGCCAACAATCGGTGTTTAAGTTGACGGTTCAGAGGGATGATTGCTTAGCCTCTAGGCAAAGAGAAAGCAGAAATCACGACTAATCGAGTTTTTAACAGTGGGAACTCCAGAAAAAGACAAGATGGGAAAGAGGGTGGAGGAGTAAGGGCAGTGATAACTGAAACGGGGCGGGGGGGGGGGGGGGCGTGGTGTGGTGGGGGTGGGGGTGGAAAAAAAGCAGAAGTTGCTTTAGTTGCTTCCATTTCCAAGAAATATATTGCTGTCCCTTTAACTCCGTATGCCTCTTTGGCACATGTACCAGGGGAAGGATTACACTTTACTAAGGAAGTAATGCAAACTTGTCTTCATTTGGTTACCATGGATATGGCACTATGTGAGACAAAGCCTCCCATTTGCATTGCAAACAACCAGGAGCAGTGAAGGACACCCAACTTGATATTCTGGCCACAGAGTGTCCCAGGTTCTTCCTCGTGACTGATCACAAGTAAAACAACCACCAGCTTTGGGTCTGTGCTTGGTACCAAGAGGATGAGAGTAAGGGATGTTGCATTTCAGATGAAGAAGGAAGAGGTAGAATCACACACATCTGCAGAACAAATGGCATTTCCTGTGCTACCTAGTGTGAAATAGCTAACAGATAGGTATGCTGATCATTTAGCTTCCCAGCTTTTTTCCCCTGGGGTACTAGAGCTGAATCAATATGTTGGTAATCTGGAATAAGTGATTTCCACAAACACTGGAATGCAATAGGAAGCAGCCAAGCCTTATGATTGCTGGTCTTTTATGCAACAGTTTTTATCTAGCTGAGTGTCCTCTTCATTCTGCAGAAGTACTGCATAAAGTACCTTAATTTTATACAAAATCCAGTTAAATGAGCAAGATGAACAGTCCCCTAAGCAGATCTAGTGGGAACCAGCACAGTACAATTAATAGCAAAGAGGGAAATTGTCTTGTTTCCCTAAAACAAATTGCAGATGATTGTTTGTCTATTAGATTGCTAGATTGTCAGTAATTCTTTTTGATTGTTTTAAGATCTGCCAGATATATAGTCACACATCATTTTTGTTTCAATTGACATGGAATAAAAATGGTATGACCCTGCTTCTATGGGTAAAAATGGCCAAATTGTCATCGGTTTGAGTGAAAGAAGAACTGCAACCCAAATGGCTAGCCCACATCCGTGAATCAAGGGTTTTCTTTCCAAGGGATTTTAGGCATGGATTAACCAGAACAATAGATCAGATATCTGGCAAAAACATTGTTTCCTCCCTTAGCACTGGACTAGGCACATCTCTGATGGGGCCAGGCCAGCTATATCATTCCAGGATACTACTCTTGGCTCCCCACTTCGGGAGAGTGGCCCACAGCTGGTGACAGGGCACCAGCACCATCTTTCCTTTGATAAGAAGGGTGCAGCCAGACCTCCCTCTGTCCTTACACCACTGTTCTCTGTGGGTACAGGGGGATAATTAGGACCACCAACCCTTCAGTTGCCCACCGAAGGGTCCACAAAATAGTAGCTTTGCACCGATATAATCCCACTTGCATCAGCGGATTTGTTTCCTGCTGGTGTTGCGAGTGAGAGAAACATCAGCCCCAGATGTGCTTGCCTTTTCCCTTTCTTCTAAAGCAAGGAGCTAGTGCTATGACTGAAATTTTGTCAGGCCTTTCAATGATTATTCTGCTGGGGAGAGGGACAGGGAAGGGACAAGTGTTAAACACAGAAATATTGCCCCAGCCTCGTGGTGCCTGTGTAAGAACCACTGGACTTTGTAGCACACGCCTCAGTCCTTTCCTGCCCTTTCAGAGCAGCTGACAATGAAATAAAGCCCTGTGTCTACTCTTCCTTCTGCACCAGCCCGCGAAGCAGGTCAAGAATGGAGAGGGAGGAGGGTGGGACTTGAAATGGGAGCAAATACCTTGACCAAAAGTGCTCTCTGCAATCCTCTGACAGCTCTCCAGGGCTTCAACTCCTCAGCCTCCCCTTGCAGTGGTGCAGAGCAGGGACACATCGCCCGTGGGCTGCTCTTGGTGCTCTTCCAGATGCACCCTGCAGCAGCAACAGGGAAGAGTAGAAAACGGCAGTGCCAGCCTGTACTCTCAGGCCAAAGAGAATGTAAATTTCCTCAAAAGACGTAGGTCTCCTCAAAAAAATGAATTTAGCATTTTGTTTACTTTTAGTCCCATCCTCCTGCCTTGCAGGATCCTTTCTTTCCTCTGCAACAAGATTAGTTAGGAAATAGTTTTCTTGGCGTTTCTTTAAACCCTAGTACATCAGCCAGTAAAGATGTAGTGAGGCAGGAGGGATGGTAAGTCTTGAGAGACAAAATGACTCGGAGTGAATAATTTATGAAAAGCACTGTTTTCTTTAATGTCTGAAAATAAGTTTGGACTCAGTCTTCCAATCAATAGGTCTGTTCTGTCTGTGTGTTCAGTCCTCTGTTTATTTTAATACAAAACAATTTTTTGCTTTAATTCTATTAATTCTGCAAAACCACAAGAGGAATGGGAAAAGTAGCATTCCCTGCCTCCTCACATCAGCATGACTGCAAATTCTATACGGTAATGCTGAATCTATAAATGGTAGATATCCTGCTATTTCCACTGGTTTCAAGGGAATTACAGACAGATATTCCAGAAGAGGTAAATGGCCTGTTATTTTTATTTTTAGCATTGTCAGAGCCAGGAATAGCTCACCCTGACTCTTATGGACAAGGCTAACTTTGCAGAACTGACATTCAGAACATTTGTTTTTCCTTCTTGATGAAACTGAGATCTTTAAGTCATAAAATATACAGCACTAGTTAAGTGTATTGGCCCTTGCAATGTCATTCTTACAGGGTTCACTTCTAAGTGTAGCATCAGTGCAAACTATTTTTACATTTGCTGCTATTTATAGCAATACAGTTCAAGTTGAATCTGTTTCTCACCAACCTTTATATCTTACCCCACCCTTACGTATGATCTCAGATTTCTTATTTGATGATAACAGTGCAAAAAGCCAGTACCAGTTACGGGATGGGTATGCATTTCATTAATATCTCAATAACATCCTGACACAGGGAAGCAAACACTGATTCTCCTTGCTTTCAGCTAGTTGTACCCAATTTTGCCATGATTTTGGAACAGATTTGGATAGCTTTAAGTTAGTTCACAAGCAGCCTGGCTGACTTCAGTGAGAAGCCAGCGTGCTTGGTATGTGTCAGCGTATAATGAAAGAAATCAGATGAGGCTGACCTCTTGTCTCGAATGAGGGATACTACATGTTCAGCAGAATTGCTCTGACAAGTGTTTAACCATAATTACTCTCTTCTTTCTCTCTTCAGTACAAAGTTTCAAATGATTTTTCTTTCATATGGAAGTAGACAGGCTTTGCCCAAAATTACTCCCAATGTCACTGACAGCCACTTCAGGTCTACTTCTGAAACTACAAAAGTCAATTGAAAATTACCCACTGAGAATTTGGTTTAGGCTTCATCCATACCAGACTCTGCTAGCCATCACTTACATTAATTTCCCCCATCTGTGAAATGACACAGGAAATCCTGAGGGCAAACATTTTAGTTTTCTGTGTTGATAAGAGTATGCTTTGCATACTGGGAGCGCACAGGTGGGTGGACTGTAAGCATATGTCATCATTTGTGTTGTAGGCCAGATTTTATGTCCCTTAGTCAGACAAAGATGTCATTTAAACAATGGCTAATCCTATCTCTATGTCTGAGAAAACAAAGAATATAGCTGATAAGTCAATAACTTAATCTGACTTTATACAGACCAATAAAACTATACGGCTCAAAATCTTAGATAGTGGCATCGTTAGACACTGTATATTTAATTACTCAGTGACATAAGCTTCAAGCTTTAGCTGGTTGTAATAGAGTTGTCCCATGCAATGGAGTAATACAGGATGAGACACAGTTGTGCTCTGTTAGGCACACCTTCCCTCTCAATGAGATGTGCCTGTGTGTAGTGGAACAGCAGAAAAATAATTTTGTCCTCCAAAGATACTTGCCTTGGCATCACCCTTCTGCCAGCAGTGCTTGTCTGGGGCAGGCTTACGATACAAATGCAGCTTCAATAAAGAATAAGGGAAAGAAAACACGGCTTACCTGGGCCAACACAGGTACCACAAAGCATGCTCTATCGCTCCTTCAGAAGCTAGAGCAGGGATGGGAGAGCCTCTCCAGCAGCAGTCTCATGTAAGCTCAACAGCTCTGAAAATCTCTTGCAGCTCTCCTGTTCCTAAAGGAGAGAGGACAAACATTTGCCTAACCTGGGCTGATATTTTCATAATCCCCACCCATTCACGCCAAAAAGAAATCTGTTTTTCAAATACGCTTTGTCCACTCTGTGTCACATAAGTTTTTTCAAGAATAGACGTGTTCAGGAAGTTTTGAATTGTTGAGTTTTTTCTTAAAGTGGTGTGGGAAGTTGTTGTGGTGCAGATTTTAGGGCCAGCAAAACCTGTTGTGAGGGCTGTTGATGCCACAAGCCAACCTTTCTGTACACAGAGTCGTATGCAAATGCAAAACAATTGGGCAGCCCTGCATGATGAGGCAGACACAGGCTGGGAAGAGGTCCCAACCAAATCCAAAACTGGACTGTCTTAACATAGTCAGTCCACGCCATCGTCTACAGGTATGAAGGTCCAGATGTCCAGAAGAAGCCAGCCTGCCCAACTGTCAGTCTGGTGCCCAGGGACGGTGGTGACCGCAGAGCTCATCAAGAACTGTAAAAATTCCCGGTGCCTTCAAAACTCATGGAAATGACACGAAGCGCTTTCAAACATCAATCCCAAGAACAAACAAGATTTTTGAAACAAACAGGCGAGCTAACAAAAACAAATTCAGCACTTGAAAACTAATGAAAATAACAACA